TCTCGCCTTGCACAACCCATGCATGCCACAATGAAACATCCACATACCTTTTTCCTTTTATTTCATGATTTTGCTTTGGATTTTTGAGACAAGGTCTCGCCATGTAGTCCAGGCTGACTTGGAGCTCACTACGAAGCCGAGGCTGGCATAGTACTCAGCGCAATTCTCTTGCTTTAGCCTCTGGAGAGCTGGGATTCCAAGCATACACCAACCACATCTAGCTACCCCTGCCTTTCTTCTAACCCTACCAAGATACTTCACTATCAGCATATGTTTTCAAAGAATAGGGGCACTGTGGGTACACCTATGGCATCACTATCACACCAAACTATGAGATTTAGGAGAATCATACATAGCTGTGCAGTCACAAACTCAAACTTCACAGTTAAATCATTTGATGAAATGTTCTTTATCTTGGACTGCATTATTTCTCTGGTAACTATTTAGAAGAAAAAATACGTCAAAGAACATCTTTCACGTATCTTAACATTATATTTCATTTAATCCTCTGTAAGACAGGTGTCCTTAAAAATAAGCACTTTTGAAAATCAAGTAATAATCTAAGACATCTAAGCCTTAAAAATCAACTACAGTGTACTAAATTTCCAGTTCGTTTAACACTACATAGCAGTCTTAAAGTAAAGCTATTCTGATGAACACTGTCAAAACTCTATGCTATTTTTATGTGCCATAGAAGTTATTACACCGAGTAGAATTAATAGAATATCACTGTATAATTTTAAAGGAAAAACATTATTCTCCAGGGGAAAAAAAGAGCACATAGTATTTATAAGACAAATAAACCTCTTTATCCGTGAAAAACTGCTAAGTATTTGTGTTAATCCAAATGGAAAACTTATTTTTCAGTGGGCATGATTTAATCTTAGTCACTAATGATTAGAGCTGAATACAAAAAACATAAATCTTATCTTTGTAGAACATGACAACACACACCTGTAATCTCAACATTCAGATGGCTGAAGCAAGAAGATTGAAAATTTGAGGCCACCTTAAGACTACACAGCAAGATTCTGTTTCAAAACAAAACAAAATCCTATCCTTGCTCTCAGTGAGGACACAACTCAGTTTAAGAGTAGGTTGATATTAAAAAAAGAAAGTAACAGCTTCAGATACAACCTGAAGCTAGTATCTAATGGGTAAGCTGTGTCGTATAAATAACTATAACCACAGAAATGTTTAAGATCAGTGTACAGGCAAAAACAAGCAAAGGAGACTATTTACTATGTGCTATGAGACATTGTAGTAAGCACAATACATGAATTAGGACATTCTCAAGAAATTATGCCTTAAATATCAGCAAATGGATGAAAATTTTAACAAAATAGCCATCATGTTACATCACTACAGGCTCTATGTGCTTAAAAAGAAAGCCCTTTTAAAGGCCAAAAACACATATACTGGAAGAAAGACACCCTCTTCAATAGTGCTAGGAAAATTAGCTTTCCACATGCAAAAGACTGAATATCACCATACTAAACTAAAATCAAAATGGATCAAAGATCTAAATATTAAAACAGAAACACACAATCTACTGGAAGATAAAATAGGCGAAACTACAAAAGACACAGGTGTAGGCAAGGACTTGCTTTTTGTGGTTTTTGTTTTGCTTTATTGGCTTTTTTTGTTTGTTTGTTTTTGTACCAGGGATCAAACTCCTGACCTCACGCTTATAAGACAAGTACTTGAGCCACTGAGCTAAATCCCCAGCCCAGCAAGGACTTTCTGAACAGATCCGCAATCATACAAGAAATAACATTAAGAATCAATTTTAGTATATGTGCTGCCAAGGAAGCACATCATTGAGAACCAACAAATGGGTTCACATTTGAAAGATTTTGCACAGGAAACAACCAACAGAGTGAAGACACAACCTAAAGCATGGGGAAAAGACTTTTCAGCTACTCCTCAGACAGAGGACTAATATCCACAATATACAAAAACTTTTAAGAAATTAGATTCCCCCAAAATAAAAGATCCTATCAAAAAAAGGGCAATGTATACTCACAAAAAATGAGTACACATTTAACAGAAGAACTACAGATGGCCACTAAATACATGAAAAAATGCTCAACATCTCTGGCCATTAGAGAAATGTAAATTAAAACCACAATGAAATACCTTACTGTCAAAAGAATGACTTTAATCAAGAAATCAAATAATAATGAATACTATAATCCTAGTACACAGGAGACCAAGGCAGGAGGATGGCCGCTAGTTTCAGGCCATCCTAGGTTACAAACTGAGTTCAAAGCTAGCCTGAATTACATAGGAAGACCCTGTCTCAAAAAGCCATTTTTAAAAATCCACATAAACAAAAAAACAAAAAACCCCTGGAGAGGCTGGGGTTGGGGAAGAAAGAAACCCTTCTACAACGTTGGTGGGAATGTAAACTAGTACAACCAACTATGGAAATCAGTGTGGAGATTCCTCCAAAAATTAAAACTAGAAATTCCATTTGACCTATTCCCCTTTTAGGTATCTTCCCAAAAGTTAAAGGCATCGTATTAAAAATGATACAATGCATACCCACGTTTATACCAGCACAATTCATAACAACTAAATCTTTTTGAAACAGTCTGTATGCCCATCAACAGATGAAGGGATAAAGTGTGGTTTTATACACAATGGAGTACTACTCTGCTATATAATACGATGAGTTACTGATAGGAAAGTAAGTACTCCTTGAGACCATAATGTGAAGTGAAATAAATCAGATACAAGCTTAAACACCATATGGTTTCTCTTATATGAGAAACCCAAAATATAAATAAAGAGGAAAAAAAGGTAATTAATAGGAGAGAGATAGATCTTTTGCAAAAGAGGAGACCAAGAAATGGGGAGGGTATTGAAAAAAGAATTAACATGCATCTTGTACATGTACCTACCCCCACAAAAAATGCAAACATTAACAAATGTTGGCAGGGCTGTGGGGAAAAAGGAACCCTTCTCTACTGTTGGTGGGAGTGTAGACTGGTGCAACCACTGTGACAATCAGTGTGAAGATTCCTCAAAAAATTAGGATTATAAGTCCCATTCAATCCAGCTATTTCCCTTCTGAATATTTTCCCAGAAAAATTGAAAATGTCATGGCACAGCAATATGTGTGCATCCATGTTTATAGTAGCATAATTTGTAATAGCTAAATCTTGGAAACAACCCAAATGCTCATAAGTTGTGGAATGGATAAAAAAGATGTGGTATTTTTGTACAGTGGAACATTAGCTATAAAGAAGGATAATCTCGAGGCTTTTTATAGGTAAAAATGGAGGCAACCTGAGACCTTACTCCTAAATGAGATAAATCAAAGAGATGTTTGTAAATATTGTCTCCATAGTGTAAAAAAAACAAATCTGAAAGAGTAGTAAAATCCAAATGTAAAAAAAAAAAAAGTACAATAGATATTGTGATAATGAAAGGGAAAGAAAGTACTCAAAAGAAAAGAACAATGAGATGGGAAAAGGAGAAAAGGAAGAAGGGAAAAGATGATATGTATATAGGTATACATATGTGTGTGTGTGTGTGTGTGTGTGTGTGTGTGTATAACAGTCTGTGCTTTTGCTGTTTGATCATTTTTATGCCTAAATCTTGTAACCTGAACAACTATAACAATATGCAATATACTTAGTGTTAATTTCTTACAATTTTTTTGAAATTGTGTATCATTTCTATCCTTTTTTTGTTTTGCTTTTTAAAATTAAAAAAAGAAAATGATAAAAAGAAATGCATAAAAGAAAAAAATTGAAAAAAAATTTTAAATCATTTTCAGAATAACCATCTAGCAATAAAAAATGCACAATCATAAAAAAATGCGTAAAAGAAAAAATAAAAACTGAAAAAAAATTTTAAATCCTTTTCAGAATAATCATCTTGCAATAAAAAAGGCACAATCAAACAGAAATGGGAAACAAGGTCTAATTCTATCATGTATATGTCAACTCAAGAAATTATCTGCAGAATAAACTAAACTAATTCTATTATACTTTGTATCAATAAAGCCTTTCATTATAAACAAAGAAGTGGTAAATATAATTTCCACATACCCGCCATTAGTTCTCAAATAGATCTTCAATGTAGTTAAAAGACACACTGAAAACTACATCATTAAAAAGTGCTGATCAGGGGGCTGGGGATTTAGCTCAGTGGCATGAGCGCCTGCCTTGCAAGGAGGCAGTCATGAGTTCAATCCCCGGTACCAATAAAGGAAAAAGACAAAAAAAAAGGGCTAAAAGTGCTGACCAAATGGTGGATGCAGCTCAGTTGTGGTAGAGCTCACACTCAATATGCACAAGGCACTGGGTTCCATCCCCAGTACCACACACACACACACACACACACACACACACACACGCGCGCGCGCGCGCGCAAGTACTAACCGATTAACATAAAACTATTCTTACTATAGGGTGCTACTATGCCAGAATAATTCAACCAATTATTCTGTGTGTAAATTTTACAGTACATGTACTTCAATAAACATCACTGATATTTATAAAAGAATTCAACATACAGCTTCTCTACATTGCTTTAGTGTTATCATGCTATTTACCAAAACCTAATAAACATATTTTAGAAAGTTATGTGAATCATACATTTGAAAATTAGTCATATTTTTATTTCTACAGCTATTAATAGTTTGGTATATCATCCACATACAGTAACTTTTTAATCCACATCAAATACAAAAAGCTATTCCACACAGCTTGTTTTCTCTCTAGCAAATGAACAGGAGGTTCTCCAAAAGAGAAGAAATTTGAGAAAAAATTCTCAAGTTTGTGAAAACTAGATTACTTACCAGTGACTTGAGTTCTCCTATTGGGTCTTTTCCCTCACAGATCCACCTCTTGCCTTCTGTCCAGCAGGAGAATCTTCCTGATGGCCTCCACAGGAACTGAGGGGCATGCAGTACAGATGCACAGGTGAGAACGTGGCAGGGAGGGGTTTGGAAGAAGCTAGAGACATGCTTCAGTGCACTTGCTTACCTTCCAGACATTGGAAATTTCAACGGTTCCTTGGTCCTCGAGGCATTCTCAATAACTTCAAAGAATGTGGATCTGTGGAGATTACCCAATAGGAGAACTCCAGTTACTGGTAAGTGATCCAGTTTTTTCTTCTCTATCAGAATATAAGAAGGTTATTTTATTTTATTGGAGATTATTAGTACACACAGAACTACAGAGAAAAGGCTGAAAATTTACCAGATACATAAACACACAAAAGCAAATACAGAAACAATTTGTAACTACAGTGTCAACAGAAACTTCTGTCACTATCAAAATCATAAGGAAAATATTTGAATGGTTTCATCTTTAAATGTCCACCATAATGGCAGTTCTATGTTAACATCCAACAAAAAAACCAACTGTCAAACTATCCCATTTCACTGAAACATTGCCATTACATTTTCAGATTAGTACCACAAGAGTTGATCAAAATCTCTCATTTCTTTTTCTCTCTCTCTCTTCATAGCTCAGGCTGGTCTTGAACGTGCAATGATCCTCCTTCATCAGGCTTCCAAGTGCTAAGATTACAGGCATGCGCCACTATGCCCAGTTTAGAAACCTCCCATTTCTTAACTAGCTATTGTTCACTGAACTTTAGCATTCGTCTTGGTGAGCTATTAGAACTCACATTAAAAGAATGCAATTCCCATTTATCATTGTAGAAGTCTTTTAAACAACTATTTTTTACCTATTAACAACTATGTATACACATAAAAGCATGCCAGCCACTGATAATGCTGATTATAACTTATATACTTGCACAAAGGGAAGAAATACAATTTTAAATAAATTTTTATGGTCACCTAAAAATGAACCTGCCATTTAAAGAAAAATTTCTAATCAAAACGGAAAACAACTTCAACAGAATTTTCTTATCTTCAAATTTACATGAAGATATATCTTTAACTTAATATATAAATCATGCTTATTTTAATGTGCCACAGCAATGACTTCAAACATCAATGCCTGTTAGTAGATAGTAGATAGCTCTGAACTCCTTTATATCATATGCTATTAAACACATGCTACTGTCAAGAAATTTGTTGTTTCATGATTCTTCATCCTATGCAAAGAAAATGTGTAAAACTTTTCCTTTTAGAGTAAACAGGAAAAGATGTGTATGGCAGCACACACCTGTAATCCCAACACAAGGGAGACTGAGGCAGGAGGACTGCTCCAAGTTTGAGGCCAGCCTGTGCTACATAGTGAAGTCAAGGCCAGTCTGAACTGCCTTGCAAAAAAACAAAGAGGATAAAATAGCTTACAAAATCATTATTCCACAAAAATTCAAAATGTAATTTTAATAAAAATCTTACATTTCGATCTTGTTATGAGGTAATATTTGTATTTAGAAAAGCTTGACAGCACACTGGTTATGATTTTTATTACATTTGTATTTAATTTTAAGACATACATTTCATTAGGTAAGTTAATATTCATTTGCCTATAAATCTGAGCCTTAAGAGTATAACAATAAATGTCATTTTTAAGTGACAAGGCTGTTCTCTGTTCACTGCTTTGGTCTAATGTAGTTGGAATACCCTCCTACCCATCTCGAGTTCACTGGTAACAGTCCTCTGTGTGGCAATGTGGCAAGATGGCAGAACCACCTCAGTGACCTCATTAGGTGACCGCCCTCAGAAGGGATTCATGGCAGAAGTTGCTATAAAAAGATGAAGACTGCTGTGCTAGGCTCTGTGTGCCCCTCTTCAGCCCAAAAGTCAGCCTCACTTTCTGCAGGCCTCCCAGGCCCTGCTCCAGGGCCAGGCTGACCTAACTACTGGCACTTCAATGGTGAACTTCCAAAAGGTGGACCCATGAGAGAGGGCACTATGGAGTTAGGTATAAAGAGAAAAGTAAGTTGACATGAGAAGTGGTAGCACTTAAAAAACCTGGACACGTGAGTGGCCTCTGTAACAGGGAGCTCCTGATTTACCCCACCCCACCCCAACAGAAGCAAGCATAACCATCCAGGGATCAGAAGAAGAAACTGGGTACATGGAAGGACTCTGGAGGGTTTCCCTGTAGGGAGTGTAGGGCACTGTAGAACCCATAGGAAACTTCCATACTGAACCATGTGAGGTTCCCAAATGTGCAACCAGAAACTCAAGAAGAGAAAGGAAGTCCTGGGCTGGAGATTTAGCTCAACGGCATAAGCGCCTGCCTTGCAAGCAGGCAGTCGTGAGTTCGATCTCCGGTACCGATAAAAAGGAAAAAGATGAGAGGAAAAAAAAAAAAAAAGAAAGAGAAAGGAAGTCCTCTGGGATGGGGTTCAGTATTCTCCAAGGGTACGTGGGGATCACCTGAGGCAATGAGGAAAAAAGCACGGAGGGGGAGGGGGGGTGTCATCATCCCTTCTTATGATCTGGTTCCTGATTTCCTATCTCAAATGATCTCCTGAGGCTCTCAACAGAAAGTCCAGAATTGTGGACTTTAATTTATAAATCAGTAAACTAAATAAACACTTTTCTTTATAAAATACCCAGCTTCAGTTATTTTATTATAGCAACAGATAACAGACTATTATTATAGACTTCCATCCCTGCTTGTATTATAAAAATATTCTTTTTTTTTTTTTTTTTTGTCTTTTTCCTTTTTATCGGTACCGGGCATCGAACTCACGACTGCCTGCTTGCAAGGCAGGCGCTTATGACGCTGAGCTAAATCCCCAGCCCCTAAAAAATAAATATTTTGAAAAGGTCATCTAATTAACTGAATTTTTCCTTAACTTCTAGTCACTGAAAAGTAAAAGAACTTACAAGTTTATACTGATAATATAGAAACAGGAACAGTAATTCATGCATTTTTCCCTAACGGTATCAGCTAGTATAAAAGAAATGATAGAAATTAAATGATAATTTTTCATTTTTATTTATAACAAACGTAGTCACTGTTTAAATTTGAGCATATGAACTTAGAATCAATGGCATCTGAAAAACAATTCAAGAGAATTAGAACATCTTGGAAATACTTTAAGGTGACCAAAGGGCCACTTAAGAGACTGACACTGAAAGCCACATTTTGTTACCATTCCATACTCATTTAAAAATGAATTTTTTAAAATAGGTTTTTTTTTTGGGGGGGGGGGTGTTTGTTTGTTTGTTTTTGGTACCAGGGATCGAACTCACAACCTCATGCTTCCCAGGCAGGCGCTTATGCTGCTGAGCTAAATCCCTGGCCCAACTTTGATGAATTTTATCAGAAAAGCTTCCCAAAAAATTCCAAAGAATGGGGACACCCTATTTCAAAATATCCTGAATGAACACTAATAATTATCACATTCATCAATAAAAGCACTGCTTAGCAATCAAAACCCAAATCAAGCATTTCATTAATGAAAAGTTACTTTATAATATCAATCAATGTGAACTTATTATATTAAAAAAAACTGCTTAAGTTAAAATGCAGTATCCAATTTCCCTGCCCTGAACATTACAATTTGTTTTGAAGATTTCAGATACATTATTTCTAATTCTCCATTAAGACTTAAAATTCTGTAAGGTAATGTGGCTGCAGAAATTTTTCTCCATGTATAACTTGGATTTGGAATTCTGTTAACAGTACAACAGATGTTAACATTATACATATATTTGCACATATTCAAGTGATATTATTGACAGCTCATGAGTAGAATACTTACATGTATTTATATAGACATACACAAATACAATCAATTAACCAAAGTAAGGTTAAAAAAAAAGTATAACTTTACCTATTAATTTATTTAAAGAAATTGTCACACACACACATACACACATACAGACACACACACACACACACACACATACACACACACAATCTCGCTTGTAACTCACAGCAGTCCTCCTGCTTCAGCTTGGGAGTACTGCGATTATATGCATGTGCCACTATGTCAAGCAGAAACTGTATTCTTTTTAGCTCTTTTCATTTGTCAGAGAATTTGTGTATAGTATCTTGCATTATCTGACTTTTCTTATCTAGACCACCCCTCTCACTATCATCCATAGAGAAAAAGCCCTAGCAGGCATATTAGTTACAAAAAAGCAATTTAAGATTAATTCTTTGCTTTTTGTTAAGTACATCTGACTAAAATGCACTGAGTTTATTGTGCCTTATATCCCTGTGTAGTTGCAAAAACTGTCTCATTTCTGCATCAAAAATTTCCTTTCCCTCAATTTATTCCACTACTTCTTCCTATACCAACCCATAAAGAAACAAAAACTGTTATTATTTCCTTATTAACCCAAATTAATCTAAAATCACAACAGCAAAATTACATTCATCTACAAGACAAGGTAACAACTGAATCTATTTCATGGGGAAATTGTAAGGGTTAACTGAACTATAAGTAAGGCATTTAGAAATAATGTCTAGAATTCAGACATACATCAAAGTATTAACATAACCAGAAAAAGGATTATTCTCATATGATTGTATATCTTTAGTGGAATGTAGTCTAAGGACTAAAAGAACTCATTACAATCTAAACTTCATTTAAGTTTTTGTTTATATTACTATTACATTGAAACTATAGTCTTCATATTGTAGGATTAAGAAACATAATGTATGTTAATGATACTAGGAACTAGTTTACAGCAGCAAAGAGCCACAAGAACCCATTTATGTTAAAACTGAATTGAAATGCCACTATACACTCATGATTTTTTTTTTGCAGCACAGTACTGGAGATTAAACTTAGGCTCTTAAACTGAGTTTCCTCTCCAGTCCTATTTTACTTTTGAGACACTGTCTCATTAAATCACTAACTTGCTCACACTAGGTTCAGCCTTAAAAGGGTACACCACCTAGCCCGGCTTACATTTACGATTTTTAACAAATATGTATGATTTGAAGGTAGTAAATGAAGTATTCCAAACAGCAAATAAACCACTATAATCATCACACTAGTATATTAATTCTATCTATAAAATAAGTCATTCTATTAGATTTACATTAATTCACAAAGCTCCTCAGATTTTAAACATGGCCAGAAATATTGCTGCAACCTTTGCCCATGTCTGACTCTGACAGACTCTTAGAATTGCAACTGCTGACAAATTCTAAAACAAAAT